GAAAACACACACAACACACACATGCGATTGCTGCTGTTATTCTGAAGCTTTACACCGCTTTTTAGTGCTCCACAATGTTGCAAAAAAGCTTCGTTTCTGCAACGCTTCTTCCAGTTTTGATGATGTGCGCCCAGTATGGGAGCTAAAAGTTGCACGAAAAGTTCCGAGCATGCCGCCCAAGTTGCAATCTGGCCGAAAGGTTTTGCAGCTTTTTCCGAGTCGGGAAAGGGAGAGGAAAGCCGCACGGCGGAAATCATAACGGTCCACGTGAAGCTGCTACCCCTACGGCACACGTAGACCCTTTTCAGCAAAGATTGTTTGAAGGCTGTGATCACCGATATCTCGACGAATACTTCACGAGTTGTCTCATGAGTGGTACCAGGGAGGAGGTGATGCCATGGGCTGTTGGGCAGTGCCAAGGTTTGGGGCCATGCGGTGCTGAATGCGCCGGCAAAAAAATTGTGCGGTGCACAACCGTTCACGGCCGTGAGCGCTAACTTCAAGTTCGATGTTTTCGACCGTAACTTCAAGTTCGATGTTTTCGACCGCCACGGGTTTGGTTTTCCACCGATGACGTTCCGAAGGAAGAAGCAACAGCAACAGCCAGGCCGCTCGGTAAGAGGCAGCTCTCTGCTTTGTCTTTCATGCCCAAGGTTTAGTGCCGTGGAGTATCGTGCGCATCGGGGTAAATGTTTTGACTGACCCTGAAGTCCCCACGTCAGAAAGCGGTTGGTTCAAGTTGGCGGGGATTGTGTGCGCATGGTTTGGTTTCCAGCGATAACTTTTCGAAGGAGAACGCAACAGCAACAGCTGTTGGATGTACTCACAGCATCGACAAACTATTTTACGCAAGAATTTCCCGAGCAGACGGAGCGGGGAGTTTGGGGGTTCAACGGTTGCTATGAACTGGATTTGGTGGTACAAACTTTGCCGCATATAAGATTGAGGGTATGGGTATCTACAACGGATGGATGTGATGATGTGGGTTGTGGTTCAGTCTCTTTTCTTTCTTCCTTTCCTATATGATTAGAAAAAAAAATCCTTTTCCCCGGCTTTCACGCCACTCGGCTATCACGCCACCCGGCTTCCACGCCACCAGGACTTCCACGTCCTTGTCTATATCTTTATATCAAGGCTTCCACGCCACCCGGCTTTCACGCCACCACCAGCGTTATCACATCCATCCGAACTACCATGCTTCACAACAAAATAGGAACTGGCTGCCACGCCAGTGGATAATCTTCTGTATTTTCACCGTTCAGTGGCTGCTAAGCTGCTGGCTCTTTTATTTCCCTTCACGGGACCCCGCGCCGAGGCACCAAGCCACTCAACACGCTAGCGTACCGATCTAGAAAGCGGCTGCTGTGTCTACACGCGCAAGATGCCGGATGGAGACGGACAACTACCTCCGGCGGGACAAGGGCACGGGTCCCCCCCCGCCGGAGAAGGCGTCGCGGGCGAAGGAGGAAGTGATTCTTTCCCCGTCAACGACGCATGAGATGAGGGAGGTGCGAGAGCATCAGGGGGGACAGATCAGCAGGACACGTTGCGCTCGCTGGTCGACCTTCTCAAGCGGGCCTTCACGGCCTCCTCCTAGGATCAGGGGCCTCGTGCCCATTCAGGCACGTCGGGCGCACAGACATTAGAGTTGCGGCAGAGAGAAAAAGTCGATGTGCCAGTGAGGAATGAAGAATTCTTGAAGGGAAGATCGAAATAATAAGTGGCGTTGCGTGTCCTTCGGAGTGCATTTGAATCTTGGCTTGACAATGAGAGACTATCAGACACGATGAGGGGTCCAGAGGTTCCCGTAGGCGGTATGGATGTGGATCTGAACTGGTTGGCAAGGACGTTTGGAGAAGAGCAAGTAGTGAGGAATTCAAGAAAGGTGTGGACTTTCACGCTAGGCAAGATCACAGCGCAGCCAGTGCAAGCACAGATTTTGGCGTCTGAGTCGCCGCAAGCGGGGTAAAATGTTTTTCTCAACCAGTACAGCCACGATAAGAGTGAAGAGCGCCAGAACCTCGACGACGAGTGGAATGTATTGTGTCAGAAGCAGGGGGAGAGTCTGACGAAGTACCATGGAAGGGCCGTCGCATCGTGGATGAGGTTGAGGACGTATGGGGATAACAGAACTAACTGAGTCATCCATGTGCAAACACATTGCCCAAGGCTTTCTGGAAGAGCTCGATAAGACCTAGTCTAAGACCGTGTGCTTTTCCACCCTATGCTGTCGACGGTTACCATGCAGGAGACGCTGAGAAGGCTGAGCACGAGCGGAGGCACGAGCGGAGAGCTGGAGAGAGGAGAGAGGAGACGAGGCACGCCCTCGTCGCAGCCCGCATGGGCCGGGGCGGTGAGCCGAGGAAACCAGCTGCCGGGACGGACCACCGTGGACAGCAGCTGCAACATCCTCACACGTCGATGCAGCCACAACAGCAGCAATCGTCGCGCTTCTGCCAATTCCACGGCCCTAACAGCACCCACGAGACATCCGACTGCCACAAGTTGTGCGGTGACTTCCTCGCCCACTACAGCGAGTTCTTCGCGTACATGAGAGGGCGGGGGGGATCCCGGGGGTCTGCAGTGCCTCGAGGCGGAGCGCAAGACTCGGGGCGTGTGGCTGGTGGTTCATCAAGACAGGCGCCATACCACCATCAACAAGGTGCGGGATGGAGTCAGGGGTACCCTCCTGCGCGACCAGGACCGCCGCGTGGACCAGTAGCAGGGGCTGGATGGCAGCAGCAACTGGGGCGCAATTCTGGGGGGCGTGGCTACGGCGGCTACGGGTCTCAACCTCCCGAGGGCCGTGGGCGACACGGCGGGGGCGCCCGCGGCGGTAATTGTCCGCCGCCCAACGCTCCTCCCGGGCAGATTGAGACCGTTCCGCGGCCCTATCTTCCGGTTAATTTGGCGATGGGCGGCGGAGATTCTTTCGGCTACGACACCACCTCGGGATGGGAGGCAACACCGGCGCAGGTACCAACACCCAGCTGGACGAGACCACCTCCCGAATCAGGCTACGGGTACGGGCTTGCGGCCCACGGAGGGGACCATGGCGGAGGTCTCTACGGCAACGCCGGCGGGGGATACGGTTTCGATCATTTTCCCTACGGCGGCGGGCTTTTTCATCAGCAGCAGGAGCAGAACCACACACCACACTACCCTTCTGCTGCAGGCCCTGACGCCTACCAACCGCGAGCTCAATACGAGGCCTTCGACGCCTCGACCCATCAAGCTACGTTCCCACAGCAGCAGCAGCAGCAGCAGCAGCAGCAGCAGCAGCAGCAGCAGCAGCAGCAGCAGCACTACGGCATACCTCCGGCGACATCTTCCTCCTCCTCTCCCTCTCGAGCTCCAGGCGACGCTCTACGTCCCGCTGGCGACGCCCCTCTTCGTCTCTTCATGGCACGTAGTTTGTGCCTTCGAGGCAAGTCTCAGTCTGATTCTGAGAAAGAGTTTTGTTTTTCGCCGACTGATGTGTTCATGTCTGCTGCACCCGGTGTGTCTCAAGTGTTAGAGAGTCATGAGGAGAATTCGGTGTTCCAGAGTCGGACATGCCTGCGATGCCTGCTGTACCCTATGTGCGTGGAATGCCCGAGAGTGATGAAGAATTCGGTTTTTCGGAGTCTGGTGGTGTGTCTATGCCTGCTGCCCCTCGTGTGCCTGAAGTACTAGTAGCGCGTGTTACTAGGCGTCCAATCATCAACCAGGCTTTCCTGTACCAACCTCACATGCCTGGCGGTAGTGAGCAGTGGCAAGCTGACTCAGGAGCGAGCGCAATGATCACCNTCAGTCTGATTCTGAGAAAGAGTTTTGTTTTTCGCCGACTGATGTGTTCATGTCTGCTGCACCCGGTGTGTCTCAAGTGTTAGAGAGTCATGAGGAGAATTCGGTGTTCCAGAGTCGGACATGCCTGCGATGCCTGCTGTACCCTATGTGCGTGGAATGCCCGAGAGTGATGAAGAATTCGGTTTTTCGGAGTCTGGTGGTGTGTCTATGCCTGCTGCCCCTCGTGTGCCTGAAGTACTAGTAGCGCGTGTTACTAGGCGTCCAATCATCAACCAGGCTTTCCTGTACCAACCTCACATGCCTGGCGGTAGTGAGCAGTGGCAAGCTGACTCAGGAGCGAGCGCAATGATCACCCACAGTCTGGACCATACATACGACGTGCGCCGCTTGGATTCTTAGGGTAACTGTTGTGGGAAGTTCAGACCTGAGATTCCACCAGATTGGAGCTAACGGGAAACAAGAAGACGTTGACAACACCGTGCCTGAAGTTCTGAATGTACCTGGATGTGGTTTCAACCTGTTTTCGCAATGGAGAGTGTTTCACAAACATAAAAGTCCGGATAAAACCCAACGGCACTCAGCTCATGCACGGGAAAATGCGCTTTTTTCGTGGCGTGTCGAGCGATTCCCTTTTTGCAACCTGTCTTCCCCACAAATCTCTGCCTTCTGTGAGCGTTGAGCGCGAGAGTTCTTTAGTGGCGTCGGCTCTTAAAGCCGAGAGTGTTTACCCCTGCCGAGGTTGGTCCAATGACTGCATGAGGAGGCTGTTCCCATCTGCTTCCCACCCCAACGTGCTTGCTTGCCTGATGGATTCTGAGTACGAACACCCTCGTGTGACGGATGTTTTCGCTGAATACTCTGCTGGGATGATTGATGTGTGGGAGAGTGATGAGTGTGAGCGTGCAAGGGATGTTTTGGGTTCGGGGAAGACGCCCTTCAACGTCGGCAATGCACAAATGGTCATGGATGTTAACACTTTCCACAACCGTGCTGGCCATCTGTCCGAACCCGTTTTGGGATTGTCCGCAAATCAACACGGGATCACCCTCACGAGGACCATGGACAGCTGACGTTGGTGCTTGCCGGCGCGGGGGACGAGGGCGCCGGTACCGAAGCAAGGGAGTGGATACCGCGGCAAGGGGGCGCCGAACGGCGTGCTCCACATCGACATTTGCGGCGGCTACACGGCGACCATCGGCGGCAGCCACTACATGCTCTTCGGCGTGAACGCCGCCACGGGCTGGATGGTCTGCTATGCGATGCGGCGGAAGTCGGAGGCGCTGGCGGTTTTCAAGCGCATGGTCGTGGGCGCCGCTCACAAGGCCGGCATCGCGAAAAAGTGCATCCGCTGCGAATGCGACGCGCTCTGGACCAGCGGTAGCTTCAAGGAGTTCTGCGCCGGCATGGGGATCGCGCTCGAGTACTCCCCTCCCGGCGTGCAGGAGTACAACGGCGTCGTCGAGAGCGCCATCCAGAGGTGCCTGAAGGTGGCCAAGGTTTCTCATCGGGCTGCCCAAGAGCTGCTTGGCCCTGCCGGATTTTCACGCATCCGCGGGCTGAGCGTACGGGGCCATGAGCTCTGGGCGGAGTCCGCCAAAGACGCCGCGCAGAAGCTGAACCAGTCTGCATCTCCATGCAACCCAAGGGGTGCGTCGCCGTAGGAGCTCTTCACCGGCGAGAGAGGCTCTTTTCGCTTGATTCCTTTTTTCCAGTACGGTATCATGTGGGAACGGCCGGCGACCACGATGGACGACAGGGCCGTGCCGTGTTTCTTCCTCAATGCCAGAGACAACCACGCCGACATCACGGTCAAGGTGCTGAAGGAGAGGACCGCCCACGTCTGCTACTCGTCAAATGTGGCGTGGGCGGCGCTCCCGCCGTCAGGGGGGGGGGGGGGGGGCCGGNCTCTGGGGGGGCTCTGCCCACGCCCCAGCACCTGCCCTTCGAGATCGCCGCTCCACCGCCGCCCGCCGCCGCTGCTGCTACTGCAGGATCGTCGTCGTCGCCGCCGCCTCCGGGGCCAGCGTCGTGGCCCGCGCATTCGCCTGGTGCCGCCGCTTCGCCGCTCCCGAGGTCGCCCGCGTCGTCGTCATCCGCCGCTCCACCGCCGCCCGCCGCCGCTGCTGCCGCCGCCGGATCGTTGCCGTCGATACCACTGTCACCACCGTCGCAGCTGCCGGAATAGTCGTCTTCATCCATCGAGGCGGAGCCATCACCGCCGGGACGCGCACCGCCACGGCGCCAAAGGAAGAACACCAGACCGCCACCGACCGCACCGGGGTACACCACGCCCCTAACATCCCACGCCTTAAGACAGCTAGGCGAGGGCGGAGACCTTCGGCTGCATGGACGCACGAGAGCGGAGGCCCGCGCCATCGCTCGGCAACAACTCTCACCCCTGCCGGATGAGGCCGTCACTACGCCTCTCCCTCCTCCCGAGATCACGATGGGACTGCTGTCTCAAGCCAACGAAGACGTGCTCCTCTCCTTACTGAAATGCTCGGCGAGCGATGAACGGCAAACCAATGCTCCGGCCAGGATTGGAAGAGGGCGGCGAGAAGGGGTGCGGAGGCGAGCGGCTCGCTTGGAGTGGGGACGTGGGGGACAGCAAGGGCAGCCTACCGCACGTGAACACCGGCAAGGAGGGGCTCGTGGGGAGTGGTTGGTTGGTCGATCTCTCTAAGTGGGGCGTTCCGCTTGGGCTCGTGGCGCGTCTTGCGACGCGCGACGAGCTTGAGTCGGCAATCCGCGAAATGGAGCCACCTCTCCTGCACCCGGACATGCCGCGCTGCCATGCCAAGGACCTCTGAGTTCCCCAGACATTCAGGGAGGCGAAGGCAAGCAATTACAGCGAGCAGTTCATGGACGCGGCCAAGCGGGAGGTGTTTGGGCTGCTTGAGGCAGAGGCTTTCAAGGTTGTCGGACCGAAGCAGCATGTTGACAATTGTATCGAGTCAAAGTTTGTTTTTGATTGGGAGGTAGATGCATTCGGCTTGTCTACGAAGGCCAAGGCTAGACTTGTTGCAAGAGGAGATATGCAGCAGGAGTACATGGGACTTTGGTGATTTGTATGCCCCTACCCCGGAACCTTCCCCGGCCCCTACGCCACCCCCTACAGTTGAAGGTAAGCGGTGCTCCGTTGCCGTGCGTTCAAAACTACTGTATTCCTTAATCATCGCAAATATATGTTGCTGACCTGAACAATGTCTATTGTGCACGACGTCTTACAATGGTCGCGGCTCCTTTGAAACTGTATGTGTTTGGTGGTGCAGCTTCGATTCCGTACAGAGATCTTCAAGAGCACCGTAGCGATGCTCATGTAGCATGGACGTCTGTCGCACCTATTTGGAACGATTCAGATGTAGTCAGCGCCCTGCATGTGCTCCGTCTCAACGACGGGCATCGACTGTTCAACTGATGCGCACAAGTGTGGCGTTGTCTCACTTTAACTGACGTCAACGATGGCGTCTGTGTGTTGAACGCCGTCTTCGTCCAAACCGAACAGTCCCGACGTGCGACGGCGACATTGTCGGCATCCAGTCAAGCGATGTGTGCTGCTCCGCAAGCTGCGGGTCTTGCGGAGGTTCTGGGTGCACTGGCAGGGACGGTGGATCGGAGTCCTGCAGTGGTGGCGGAGTCAGGGCTTCCGTTCGGTACTGCTCCATTACGGGAGAAGCGCCCTGCATGACCGGTGAGTCAATATTATGGAAGATCGACGCTTGTTTGCACATCGAGGTGATATACTCGCAGTTTATCCTTAGAGTTTGCTCCTCCAAGGCCGATCACGACTAAATATGAAAATGTTTCCTCCCGTGCCTTCGCCTGATGTGGGAGCGAGTACATTTAATGGTCGAAACTTGATCCACATGCTTGAGATACAAACTAACTGTAGATTGCTCACAAGAATTGAACGGGCAGCCACAACTGGATAATATATGATTTGCAATGGCCGCGACATGTCAATTTTAGAGACCACTTCTGTGCTTCCAGGCACATGTTGACACAGCAGTATCATACCCCGAAGCAAGCCTCGTTACCGATCTCAAAGTCCACTTCCGTGCTTCCAGGCACATGTTGACACAGCAGTATCATACCCCGAAGCAAGC